GAAAAAGTACCAATTGTGAGACAGTGAAAAAGTAACAAGGCTTTATAATAATAATGGAAACAAACACCCTTTTAATAGAGGGGCTTACAAAGATGATCTTCTGTCTGCTTCCTTTGAAGGTTCAGGAGAGTTCAAACATTACAAAATTTGGTAGAAAAAGCTAATCAGCAGTAGCAAAGTGATTAGTTGAAATCCCTTTCAAAGCAAGCAGGGGAAACACATGGTGCTTGCTGAAGGGTTCGGTAGAGGCTTTGGTCATTTGATTAAGAGTGACTTATAATGTTCAGGTTGTCAGGAACATTATTAAAATGTAAGTGAAAGACGTGTAAATATGGACAAACCTATTTATAAGATGTACAATATATTTATTTTCTACATATAAAGAATAATTATAAATCTATATATAAATCTATTTATTTATTTCAAAGGCTCTATTTTGTAATGAACTTGAAGTTATTAGAATTGTAGATTCTACTGAGATTATTCAGAAGGGCTAAACCATTTGACCTGAATGACTGACAATAAAATTGTCCTGCTATTGTTTATTGTTGGTGACCATATTTGCAAGGATTCTCTGTACCAATTAAAATCTGAGAAACACTGAGCTGATTGAGTTTGACTGCACACACCACTTTTATGATAGTTTATCAAGGTACATTCATCTTTGCTAAACAACACAGGAACTCAAAACGCTATGAGAGCACTAGTTATTTAAGTCAACATGATATGGCATCAGCAAACCATGATATTATCTATCTACAATATCATGTACCATATTTGCAAGTAAAACAGGGTATTCAAAGAAAATCTTCTTCAGAGGCAGATCAAGTTATGTTTTGATGAAAGATTACAAAAACAAACATTTTTGTCTTTGGAACTAGAGTGAATTCTGACTTCATATTGTCTTCAAAGTAGAGCACATCTGATATCCTCTTTCAGAAAATCTTCATGTAAGGGGTCAATCAATCTATGAAATGTTGTTTATCTAGTGCAGCGTAAATTCCAGAACATCACAGCAGCATTCACAGAATAATCCAGCTCTCCAGAGATGTGGATGTTAGCGGATGATGTAAAACGACAGCTCTTGGCTCGGGGAACCTGTGGGAAAGTTCTCCCTAAGCAGTCTGTAGAGGCATAAATCAACGCCCAACAGAAAGCGAACCAATACGAGAGAATGTGTTGCGCTGGTGGGCGTCAAACCTGTTGAAAAGCCTGCAGCACGCACATCAACATGGATTACCTATATAATAGCGATAACGTACGCATAACTATTATTTTTGAGTTTTTTGTGAATCCGATGCATTGTAAATCACATCAACAAAACTCCCTTGGTGATTGAATGAAGATTTGGACCAGCACTGATGTTGCCCTGAATGGACTTCTATAGGGTTTCAGTCATCTTACATCATCAGAAACGAACAGAACAATCCAGATTTACAAATGTTCACAACCCCACCCACCACCGATGCCTGACAACATGCTTGGCTCGTTCCTGCTCGGATGATCAATAGTTAGGCACTGCAGCCAGCAAAGAATAATTATAAATCTATATATAAATCTATTTATTTATTTCAAAGGCTCTATTTTGTAATGAACTTGAAGTTATTAGAATTGTAGATTCTACTGAGATTATTCAGAAGGGCTAAACCATTTGACCTGAATGACTGACAATAAAATTGTCCTGCTATTGTTTATTGTTGGTGACCATATTTGCAAGGATTCTCTGTACCAATTAAAATCTGAGAAACACTGAGCTGATTGAGTTTGACTGCACACACCACTTTTATGATAGTTTATCAAGGTACATTCATCTTTGCTAAACAACACAGGAACTCAAAACGCTATGAGAGCACTAGTTATTTAAGTCAACATGATATGGCATCAGCAAACCATGATATTATCTATCTACAATATCATGTACCATATTTGCAAGTAAAACAGGGTATTCAAAGAAAATCTTCTTCAGAGGCAGATCAAGTTATGTTTTGATGAAAGATTACAAAAACAAACATTTTTGTCTTTGGAACTAGAGTGAATTCTGACTTCATATTGTCTTCAAAGTAGAGCACATCTGATATCCTCTTTCAGAAAATCTTCATGTAAGGGGTCAATCAATCTATGAAATGTTGTTTATCTAGTGCAGCGTAAATTCCAGAACATCACAGCAGCATTCACAGAATAATCCAGCTCTCCAGAGATGTGGATGTTAGCGGATGATGTAAAACGACAGCTCTTGGCTCGGGGAACCTGTGGGAAAGTTCTCCCTAAGCAGTCTGTAGAGGCATAAATCAACGCCCAACAGAAAGCGAACCAATACGAGAGAATGTGTTGCGCTGGTGGGCGTCAAACCTGTTGAAAAGCCTGCAGCACGCACATCAACATGGATTACCTATATAATAGCGATAACGTACGCATAACTATTATTTTTGAGTTTTTTGTGAATCCGATGCATTGTAAATCACATCAACAAAACTCCCTTGGTGATTGAATGAAGATTTGGACCAGCACTGATGTTGCCCTGAATGGACTTCTATAGGGTTTCAGTCATCTTACATCATCAGAAACGAACAGAACAATCCAGATTTACAAATGTTCACAACCCCACCCACCACCGATGCCTGACAACATGCTTGGCTCGTTCCTGCTCGGATGATCAATAGTTAGGCACTGCAGCCAGCACGCTCGAATACTTTCAGATACGAAGTGTATAGTGCATGTTCATGAGAACGGAAGCAGGTTTTAACATTGGAGGATAGATGGGGCAACAGCTGAGGCAAGTGGCCGAGTGGTAATCTGGGCATACCAAGGATGGGATCAACATTTCAACATCTGCAATAGTTGTAATGTTTCTCTTTTGGCAGCTTTGTGCAAGCTGTGAACGCAAGCTCCCCTGGGGGGGGGGACTTGGGCTTGAGGGGGCGAATGGAAAAGAGGGGGAGAAAAACCCTGGCAGCTAAAGAAATGAAAATAATAGCAAGCAGTAGAAACGACACAGCAGATGAAAGACTGAAGGGGAACAATGGGGTGTACGGGAGGACATAATATTTGTATTAGAGAAAACGCAACTGAAATTTGGTTTTGCCGTCACGGATCTCAAATACGGTCTAGTTCGTTTATTCATTTACCGAAAATAATGAATAGCTGTTTGAGTACTCACTAGTTCTTCAAAACCACAACTTTCTAGTATCGGCTTAAATCAGGGGCAAAAGTTTGTCTTCTGGTGACCTCATCTGACTGTCAACTGCACTGCTGCATCATGGGAAGGGAGTGGCACATTTTCACATGCATAAGAAACGACTAGCTAGTATGTATCGGTCCCAAAAAGTAGTAAGTAAAAGCACTGTCTAGAGTTCAAGGTAGCCAACATATAGTTGCGTACTATATGCGTGTTAGGTTTAAATAAAAAGAAAGGGGGGATTACTCAAACAATATATGCCTTCTCACTCGTCTAAGTTAATTTCATACGAGTTCCCATATAGCATTCAAACTTGAAGTATCACCCAAGACCCCGATTTAGAGAAAACGCAACTGAAATTTGGTTTTGCCGTCACGGATCTCAAATACGGTCTAGTTCGTTTATTCATTTACCGAAAATAATGAATAGCTGTTTGAGTACTCACTAGTTCTTCAAAACCACAACTTTCTAGTATCGGCTTAAATCAGGGGCAAAAGTTTGTCTTCTGGTGACCTCATCTGACTGTCAACTGCACTGCTGCATCATGGGAAGGGAGTGGCACATTTTCACATGCATAAGAAACGACTAGCTAGTATGTATCGGTCCCAAAAAGTAGTAAGTAAAAGCACTGTCTAGAGTTCAAGGTAGCCAACATATAGTTGCGTACTATATGCGTGTTAGGTTTAAATAAAAAGAAAGGGGGGATTACTCAAACAATATATGCCTTCTCACTCGTCTAAGTTAATTTCATACGAGTTCCCATATAGCATTCAAACTTGAAGTATCACCCAAGACCCCGATTTATTTAAGAACCCATGACACATGCTACTATAAGCAATGCGTCTCGCAGAACCATCTAAAAGAGCAAATGTCACAATTCTTGAAAATTCTCAAAATCGATGATATAAACGTTCATACAAAAGTTTAAAATATTTAAGAACTTTCATGACTATTCCATTACTTTTGTTCAAGTGGATACATTAGCAATCGCAATTTCTTCTTGACAAAATATCTTAAAACTAAGCATCAATAGAAAATTTCAAATAAAACAAATTATTTGAAATTTCCATGATTTTTTAATTCCCCTGTTGTCTTTATTTAGGACATGGATTTGCATATAACATACTATTTGCCAGTAATTGTGCAGAAATTGCACAAAAAACACACACAAGCAACTGCATGTAACATCCTTTTGGTCACTTTATTTAAATGTGATATTAAATACTAAGTAGCAGTTCATATTAATGGCAGAAGTTGTTGGTGTATATGCTAACATTAGAACATTTTCAGGAGGGGAAAAAGTTCCTCTACATTTCTGAATTGCGATCCCAACGCAAGTGGGGAAAAGAAACCGAACGAAATAAACAACAGAAAAAGAAATTATGAACAGTTCTCACAACAATATGCTAGGCAACACTACAACGAGAAGTCTGATGTTACAAAAGTCCGGAGGAATTCAGCAAGCAGTTTTAACAACACAGACATTCCATAGCGTGATTAGCAACAACAAGTTTAAATACCTAAAAGCAGATTAGAAAAAGGGGTTTTAAAACATTAGAAGAGATCTAGCTGCTTGATATAAGGCCATTTGACTTGACGTTACATTTAAGGTGTCCGCTGCAGTGTCTCTGGAGCACTGTACCGATGACAATCCACTACTAGGAAGATATTAGCGCAGACAGTATTTACGGGGCTCTAGAACAGAAACGCTATGGTCCCTCCTCAATCACGGTGTTTTCCTTGCAATATAACTATTTATATATGCACAGCCCTTATTCAAGGGGAAAGAAACCCGCAATGCCTAAAAGCATTTGGGGAGAATATCTTCTTCAATCTTAAATACGCGAGAGAGGAAAAAAACAAACAAAAAAACTTGAATAACATTAAGGCTATATACACAAAATGACAAACTGCACTGCCAAAAAGTCCCAGGATGCCCTCTCGTTACCGAGGAGCTCGAGTAGGTGTCCTGGCTGAATCAGTCCAGCTGTGTGTACACCGACGGGCCGAGGCATCTACAGGCCCTTAGACGGGCCCGGGTTCTTGCCCAGCTGTGAGGAGGGGAGGCCCTGGAGCGCCCCGAGCTGCTGGTACAAGCCCAGCAGATCCATCTGATTTATGGGGCCAGTAAGACCGTTCTGCATGGCCAGCTGATTGAGCAGCAGACCCTGCCTCGCCATGGCCAGCTGCTGCTCCTGCACCTTACGGTTGGAGATCACCTTCTGCACGTACATCATCAGCTGGAGAAGAGACGGAGATGGGATGTTAATGTTCTCTTATGTGGCTTCAGAAAGTCATGCAATATCGGGGTCTCCAACAGAACTGGTGTTACTACATAACCCGTCCACAAAGCACCACATTCTTTGATTACAATCAAGAATGTATTTTTTTGATATCCAATGTCAACAGTCAAACGCATCCATGTTTACATAGAAAAAACAGTGGAAAAGCAGCGCAAGCGAATAAAAAAAAACTGTGTCTGATATTTCATGTTTGCATCATGGTGACTGGCTGAAAGCAGCCGTTCATTGTTTTTACAGAACATTTATAGTTAATAATAGTCTACTGGTGTTATACCTTTGAATTTGACTTACCTTGACTTTTGAGATTTTTTTTAAACCATTTTTCTCATATTATTTTTTAACATATAACATGCATAAGACAAGTTTGTACAAGATGGAGTCGTAGTTCATGCATCTTTTCTGCAAAGATATTTAACAAGTGATTTGTTTAACATTTGGCATCATGCTGACTGCTTCATGTGTGCTGCACTCAGAATAGAATTTTCTTTAACTAGAGTTAATTAAGAAAAAGCTACTTGAATCATGTTGTAGTTACATTTACAAGTTGACTAGTTAAAAATATATTTTTTTAAAAATCGAGATGGTCACTTTTTGCCATATCGCCCAGCCCTAAATCACAAGTTAATAAAGTAACAACTGCAACAAAAATATAGCAATCACAAATTAGAGGTTTATGGACATTGGATTTCGCTGATGATATAAAAACCCAATAAAAAAAAAAAAAACACTATTTTGCCGTTAGTAGTATTTAATGTTGTATTTTTAAACGCCAGATGTAGTTTATTGTATTATTGTAAAATATGCACTCTTACAACCATCTACAACAAATTACAATATAAACACCATGAAGCAAACATGCCATAATTCATCAGCAGTAGATCATAAGCAATCGTTTGGCATACATGCACAGTTTCCACCGATTCTGTAGAACGTGAAACATTGGCGAATTTTTACACTGAAGCATGCAGCACTATCATTTATCGGCCTTTTTAAGTTAAACAGCAACATAAGGCCTTATTGCAACATTTAAACTTTTTATGCCCTTAAATTTGATCAAACTGAATTTAAGACATTTTAGGACTTTTTAAGAGACCCTTAATTCCTTTACGCATCACATTTAATTATTTTTGACAAATGGAGAATAAAAGGATGCAGCAGGGTCCCCCAGATGTAAAAATCCCGATTTAGTTTATAATGTTAATGTCACTTAAACCCAGATAGAACATAAGATGAGCAAACGTACAGTTTGTTGCTTGCCGAGGACATCACGGTAAATAGCCTCCCTGTGTTTGATTTCCAGCTCGTAGCCAGCCTGCCTCCCAAGAGCCATGGACTGAACCTGGGCCTCGGGTAAACTCGGGTTCTCCTTCCACTGCCAAAAACAACACACCCGTTACATCCTGTAGACCTCAACAAACAAACACTTACACGCTCATCACACACACACAAACACATTTAGCAGTTGTTCAGAACGTAGTCCAACATCTCCAGCTTAATACTGATGACACCGCAAACTATAGGCAAAAACTACAGCCTCAAAAGTGTATATTGAAAAAAAAGCTTGCTCCATGACACTAGGGTATAGTGGCTTGTTGTTATACAGGTGTTGTATGTGGTTGTCAGGTCAACAGAGCCCATCTTCCAAGTCTCTATATTATTCTGGTCTCCAAATATGACTGTGTAGGTCTATAGATTTTGGTCATTTTATCAACCAACCAGAGTTTCATTCATGTCTCTAGCACAAAATGTATGGGACAACCTATGTATTAGAGGTTCAACTGGGGGAAGTACTAACAACAACAGTGATTTTTGCATCAGTTATTGGTGATAATAGCCCATAGATGCAACACTGGACCTGAAGATTTAAGGCCCTGATATACTTCTAAAAACCATACTATTGTGAAGTCATTGCGAACAAAATCAGGCCAAAATGAAGTTTGTTTGGTGTTTCTGGAAGTGTTTGCTCCTGCTGTTAAACCCCTTCTTTTAACAGGTAGATGATTCTTTGACTTGGAAAACGTCTGCGTTTCATTTCTTCTGTTCAGTCTGGCGAGGTCAGACGCGAGTTAAAACAGGAACGCACTGGAGAACTGCTTTATAGCAGAAACTGACACTTTTTTCATGTTTACTACTGTAAAGCTGCTTGCTTTAAAGCAATCTATTGTATAAAGTGTTATATAAATAAACATGACCTGACTGGAGTGCTGAATTGCAGAGCTGCACAAACTTATCCACGTTGCCATGATCAGATGCTTTCTTAACTGCTGTTTTCTCACCGCTGTCAATTTGTTGTGTTTATTTGGTTATAGAGAGGAAAGCACGCGACATTTACGTATGCATCTCTTTGGGATGTTCACTAACAGTAAACTGCTGCTCAGGCATTTAAAAAAACTTGTTTTCACCCCTAATCGAAGAGCGAAAAACTTCTGCGTCGTGAGTATATTCGGGCCTTTCCGACGAAAGCCTCACTGTAGGGAATCTCCCTCTCTCCTGTCACTCACCACCTGCGCGATGATGTCCTCCAGTGGTTCCCTGGGCACTGACTTCAGAGCGTTAGTGGCTTCCAACACTTTCAGCCTGCCCTGGTTAATCAAATCCTTGAACACGGAGAGAAAAAAAACTTGAGAAGACAGAAAATACTAGACGAGATGAAACAAACCTAGCAAGAAAACATTTCTGAATTTGATATTTTCACATCGGCCTTTTTAAGTTAAACAGCAACATAAGGCCTTATTGCAACATTTAAACTTTTTATGCCCTTAAATTTGATCAAACTGAATTTAAGACATTTTAGGACTTTTTAAGAGACCCTTAATTCCTTTACGCATCACATTTAATTATTTTTGACAAATGGAGAATAAAAGGATGCAGCAGGGTCCCCCAGATGTAAAAATCCCGATTTAGTTTATAATGTTAATGTCACTTAAACCCAGATAGAACATAAGATGAGCAAACGTACAGTTTGTTGCTTGCCGAGGACATCACGGTAAATAGCCTCCCTGTGTTTGATTTCCAGCTCGTAGCCAGCCTGCCTCCCAAGAGCCATGGACTGAACCTGGGCCTCGGGTAAACTCGGGTTCTCCTTCCACTGCCAAAAACAACACACCCGTTACATCCTGTAGACCTCAACAAACAAACACTTACACGCTCATCACACACACACAAACACATTTAGCAGTTGTTCAGAACGTAGTCCAACATCTCCAGCTTAATACTGATGACACCGCAAACTATAGGCAAAAACTACAGCCTCAAAAGTGTATATTGAAAAAAAAGCTTGCTCCATGACACTAGGGTATAGTGGCTTGTTGTTATACAGGTGTTGTATGTGGTTGTCAGGTCAACAGAGCCCATCTTCCAAGTCTCTATATTATTCTGGTCTCCAAATATGACTGTGTAGGTCTATAGATTTTGGTCATTTTATCAACCAACCAGAGTTTCATTCATGTCTCTAGCACAAAATGTATGGGACAACCTATGTATTAGAGGTTCAACTGGGGGAAGTACTAACAACAACAGTGATTTTTGCATCAGTTATTGGTGATAATAGCCCATAGATGCAACACTGGACCTGAAGATTTAAGGCCCTGATATACTTCTAAAAACCATACTATTGTGAAGTCATTGCGAACAAAATCAGGCCAAAATGAAGTTTGTTTGGTGTTTCTGGAAGTGTTTGCTCCTGCTGTTAAACCCCTTCTTTTAACAGGTAGATGATTCTTTGACTTGGAAAACGTCTGCGTTTCATTTCTTCTGTTCAGTCTGGCGAGGTCAGACGCGAGTTAAAACAGGAACGCACTGGAGAACTGCTTTATAGCAGAAACTGACACTTTTTTCATGTTTACTACTGTAAAGCTGCTTGCTTTAAAGCAATCTATTGTATAAAGTGTTATATAAATAAACATGACCTGACTGGAGTGCTGAATTGCAGAGCTGCACAAACTTATCCACGTTGCCATGATCAGATGCTTTCTTAACTGCTGTTTTCTCACCGCTGTCAATTTGTTGTGTTTATTTGGTTATAGAGAGGAAAGCACGCGACATTTACGTATGCATCTCTTTGGGATGTTCACTAACAGTAAACTGCTGCTCAGGCATTTAAAAAAACTTGTTTTCACCCCTAATCGAAGAGCGAAAAACTTCTGCGTCGTGAGTATATTCGGGCCTTTCCGACGAAAGCCTCACTGTAGGGAATCTCCCTCTCTCCTGTCACTCACCACCTGCGCGATGATGTCCTCCAGTGGTTCCCTGGGCACTGACTTCAGAGCGTTAGTGGCTTCCAACACTTTCAGCCTGCCCTGGTTAATCAAATCCTTGAACACGGAGAGAAAAAAAACTTGAGAAGACAGAAAATACTAGACGAGATGAAACAAACCTAGCAAGAAAACATTTCTGAATTTGATATTTTCACAGAGATAGCTAGCATTTGTAATGCCGATTCAATATATATCGTTTTCTCACCGCTGTCAATTTGTTGTGTTTATTTGGTTATAGAGAGGAAAGCACGCGACATTTACGTATGCATCTCTTTGGGATGTTCACTAACAGTAAACTGCTGCTCAGGCATTTAAAAAAACTTGTTTTCACCCCTAATCGAAGAGCGAAAAACTTCTGCGTCGTGAGTATATTCGGGCCTTTCCGACGAAAGCCTCACTGTAGGGAATCTCCCTCTCTCCTGTCACTCACCACCTGCGCGATGATGTCCTCCAGTGGTTCCCTGGGCACTGACTTCAGAGCGTTAGTGGCTTCCAACACTTTCAGCCTGCCCTGGTTAATCAAATCCTTGAACACGGAGAGGAAAAAAACTTGAGAAGACAGAAAATACTAGACGAGATGAAACAAACCTAGCAAGAAAACATTTCTGAATTTGATATTTTCACAGAGATAGCTAGCATTTGTAATGCCGATTCAATACTATCCCGATTCAATATACATTGCAATAATTGAGTATTGCGATTTTATAACTATTGTGATTCGATATTACACTTTATTGTGATTTTTCTTTGCTTACTGCTATATTTTATTTCAGGAGCATACACATACACAGTGTATATTTTGAGTTTTCCACTTGTCGTTCATGTGCATTCAACTCATAAATACGATGTATCCGACATGACTTGAACGCACCATAATACAGCGGCGCTGCGCAGACCGATCACTGTATAGCATCAAAGCACCGTGAGAGCTACAGAGAGCAGACAGCTCCGCATGCTTTCGACACGCTCTCGCAGTACTTTGATACACCGATTGGTCTGCGCGGTGCTGCTCCAAGTCGAAACGACCTATACATGTCGCCCTCTGCTGGAATAAGAGCGGTAACTTCTCCCCACCACCTAAAATAATTAAATACAAATCGATTCTGAGATCGAGAAACCAATCGATTTTCAAATTGTTTTAAAAAGAGTCGAGATAGTTAAGTGAATCGATTTTTTCCCCCCCCCCTAGTAAACAGCAGCTGGCAGGGCACAAGCCAAATGTAGGTGCCCGAGGACGCATGTCACAATTAGCTGCTGGCTGAAGGAATGTGGAAAGAGCATGTGGAGCTCATTACTTACCTCCAACTGTTGGTTACTCATGGAGGCCAAAGCAGCCACGTTGAAGGGGAAGTAAGAGTTTGGTCCTGCTCCCATGCCCATCTGAGAATAGGACGGCTGGTTGAAACGCATGGACAGCCCCTGAAACAACAGACGAGCGGGTCCATCAGTTGGAAAGAAACAGAGAAACTTCATTTCACGAGATGAGGTCACACAGAAAGATCCCGATTATAAATAATCTTCAAATCAGGTTCGGCCTGACAGATGAGTCAGCCTTCCATCACACTAGCACTTGCTGCAGGGTAATCAAAGCATTGCTTTGTGGACTTTATTTTCTCGTGGTAGCCGACGATGTGATCTTTGTAACTGTGAAGGAGTTCTGCCAGGAAAGGATCCTGGGACGGGAGAAAGGGTCAAAGAAAGATGGGTCAGCATCCCACATGAAAACACACACACAGGGCTCTAGACAAAAAAATTAAATAAATAATAATAATAATAATAGAGTAAGGAGCCATTGGCTCCTATAAGAAACAATCTTAAGCGCCAAATAATTTTTTTAGGTGCCACTGAATAAACGTGTTTTATTTATTTTTTTACAAATATATATATATATATATTTTTTACATTTAACATTTTAAGCATACTGTCATGTGTTTATGTCTCATATATATATATATTTTTTAATTTATCAGCATTTTAATTCATCAAGTAGATGTGCTGGGAACTAGGGGTGTGCGATATATATATATCGTCTGCGATACTATCGTAATTGTTGTTTTAATGAGGTGCGATTTGACATTATCGAGTATTTTGCAAAAACCATTCAAAACATCCCTACAGAGCGCACGCGTACATTACGTGAAGTCTATGCGCGTGCGCATTTAGTGTGTGTTCTTTCACTGCATGATTCAGTCTATTAAAATGCATTTAGAATGATCACAAATTCAAGACATGACGGCAGAACATTTATATATTTATACCACTTCATATAGTTATTCAATTTCACACGAAGAGTGCCGTTTTTCTCCAAAAAATTGATTTCAAATGTGACATTGAATTCAATAAACAATAAGTTAATTAAGAGACTTACGTTTTAGACGCCATATTGCCTGTTTTTGCTCTATTTCGCCAACAAAAATCATCCCGAATACAGCCACAGCGCTGTTTTGTGTCTCTGAGCAACATGACGGTGTTTTGTTCCTGAATGAATCAACCGTTTAAATGATTCGGTTCAATCGCAATTACTCACTTATTAACAGTGCTTTGCTGCCACCTACTGGCGGTTTTCATTTCACATTTAAGCTTTTTCTTTCTTTTCTTTTTTGATTTAAATCATTTCAAATATCAGTATTCAACGTTTTATGTTTAATATATCAAAACATTATTTATGCATTTGTAATTGCAGGTTAAATGCATTCATGTCTTGCATTAAACAAAATACATGTGTGTAAATACATCTAAATGCAGCTTCAGATGCAGCTTCTGTGTTGATTTCATTTGCTCGGTAACAGCCCAAATGTCTTATTATTCTAATTCACTGATTAAATGTAAGAATTTGACTCAAAAGATAATGGACACTTTTAGAAAAAATGGCTTTATAAAGGTAAAAATGCCCATAAAATGCAAAAATCAGCTTAAACTTATTGGAAAAGATTCATTTATAACAGTATGAACTGACCAGCACACAGAATATGAAGAATATTAAAAACATTGAGTCAGCTGTATTCGGCAGTCCTTAAGAAACCAGCACAATAACACGCTCAGCAAAATATCGTCTAATTATCGTCATCGATAAAATCCCAGAAAATATCGAAATATAATTTTTTGTCAATATCGCACACCCTTACTGGGAACTAATGTTCATTTAAAGTGGGAACTAAACGTCTTTAAAATATATAGTCACAAAGAATTGTTTATTACACAGAATCTGTGCCAATATCATGGACTATACTTAAGTATCACTTGGTCACAGAGTAGTTTGGGCTCCTCCTCAATGCATCCTATAAATGTTGTTATACGTCTTTCACACATCTAGTCGGTTTTCTTCATTAGCAAAATGCAATTTTATAGGTGTTGAATTTTATCTTTAGCTTGCATTATTTCTTATGTCGACAAAAGGTTAAGTAAAAATATGAATATGCAATAGCTCATTAATATAGCAAGATGCTCCTCTTTATAGTTATATTTCTAGCTGACTGATGAGCTTATGGACACCGAATGGTTATTCTGAGGTAAATGTATTATCACATTGCAGTGTTTACAAGCTTTACACGTTTTCCGCAGTTTGAAACAC